GTGGAAACCAGGCTCAGTCTGTCTCACATTCCAGCCCCCTGATTTTATTATTCACCCTCTGGGCTTGTTTCTGTGAGAAGCTGTGAATTCCTTTTTTGGAACTGCCTCCTTCCTCTTGACACCCATCAGAGGAACATTTACTGCTTGCAGAGCCTGGTCCGTCCTGGGCATTAGGAAGCATACCAGCCACCCTACCTCTTCCCAGACCTGAATGTGTGTGTGAGTCCCGTGGTTAAAATGTGGCTTCTGGTTCTGAGGGGTGGAGTGAGGCCGGAGCATCTACGTTTTAGAGTCCCAGGTGCTGCTGCTGGTCCTCATCCCTCACCCTTTGACAACCAAGACTAGCAGGAAGTGGGCTGGGGCACAGGAACCAGATCCCGGGCCTGTCTGCCTCCTTGCTGACGGGGCTCCTGGACTGTCACTCGTTCCTGGGCTGATGGGGTGACCAGATCCCCTGCTGTCTGTCCTGTTGGCACCCACCCTGCTGGCCTCCCACAGGCTCTCCGGCTCCAGCCTCCTGTCTCTGTCACTGCCAGCAGCTCAGGCCCCTGAGGAGGCCCTGCCATGTGGGGGACAGAGTCTGGAGGAGAACATGGTTTTTAAACAGTAATTGTAATCTTCAATGATGAGTATTCCCCTTTGAGCAGTGCTCACCTGCCTCTTCCCGGTAGTACTCACGGTCTCGGGCCCGCTCAGAACTTTTGGGTAAATAGTGTCAGGCCTGGGCCCTTCTGGTAGGACCCTGCCCTCCAGCTTTCCTGGTGCGAGCCAGCCAGTCGGGCCAGCTGCGGGGAGGGAGATCCATCTGCACATCCCCAGGTGGTCTTGGCCTCATTCTCCCGATGGCACCGAAGCCAGAGCGATGTGAGGCTGTCGGCCTCCTGGGGCGGGCGGGGGGGGCACCAAGGCTCTCTGGAGAAGCAGGGCTGTGAGGGTCACGGGGCCTGGGTGGCGCGGGGTGGAGCCTCCTGCAGATCTCCCTCCGAGCAGCACTTTCTCCGGGGGTGAGGTACCCACGAGCGTTCCCACCTTTCAGATGGGAGTGGCACAGATGGGGTTGGGGTCCATGTGGGACTTGGACCGCATGGGAGCTTGGGGTCTTCAGTGGGGCCCATAGGATTTCAGGGTGGACTCAGGGTAGTCAGGCTGGGTGGACGCCACCTCCCTCATGGATCACAAGCTCACAAGTTCCCCTCCAGACTTCCTCTTGTTCACAGAAGGGCAGGGCAGCCGGTGGGCGGGCGTCAAGACTGGCCTGAGGGGTAGAGAAGGAAGCCAGCCCAGCGCCCCCCCATCCCCACGTCACCAAAGCGCCGAGTAAAACCCGTAGAAGCTGCGCTGGAGGGAGCGCTGGTCTCCTGGCATTTGTGGAGCTTATTGCTTTCCAGGACGATGGTCTGGGAGGAGAGCCAGGAGCTGCTGGCCGGCATCCAGATCTGGGCTGGATTACACGGCTGGGCTTGCCCAGAGCCGTGAGTCCTACCCATCCCAGCCCTGCCTGGAGGGACTGGCTAGGGAGGTCATGGAGGCCAGCGCTGTTCCCAGAGGAGCAGCGGTGAGGGATGGGACCGACCTGAGGCGCTAGCCTGAAGCCTCACTGCCCCGGGCGGGAGGGCTGCGGGGCCACCCACGGCCCTTACCTGAGTGGAAGGACACAGCCCAGCTGTGCAGGGCAGGTTGTGGGTGGGAGAATAAGGTGGGGGTGCTGACCAAGGCTGCCCTCGGTGGCTGCATGTGGAGGGGTCTGCTGTGTGGCACCCTGCTCCTGCCTGGGAAAGGGAGTGCTGACTCTCCCCGGGGGGGGGGAGAGCCTGACTGCAGCTCTGGAGTCACACTCAGTCCTCACTCGGCCACTCGCTCCCTCTTGTGATCTTGGCAAGTTGCTTACCCCCCAGAACCTTGTCTCATCTGTCCCTGGAGGTGGAGGCAGCACTTCAGAGCCTTCCTGGCAGGAGGCTGCCCTCTGACAGGCAGACGGTGCAGGTGGAGGTGCAGCCTCTGCAGAGCGAGCAGGGGAGTGGCTCCTGCCGGTTGGGATGGGAATGGCTTCCTGGAGGAACCTCCGTCAAGCAGAGGAGTCCTGGGCTGTGGGTGTGAAGTTCGGTAGGGGTGGGGGCTGGGCCTTAGGCTCCTCTGGATGCTGGGCTGCTTGTACCTGTGGGCAGTGTCTGCTGCCTCCCTGTGGAGGCGGAGGCGGAGGCAGTGCGGTTGGTGTAGGGCAGCACCGTGAATGCTGAGCTCCCGACACAGGCATGCTCTGTGAAAGCCTCTGTTCTTTCTCTCCTTGTGCTTGCAGTTTATTTCTTTCCTGTTTGATGGAAGATTTACATATATCATGGCACCCAAATTTCAAGTGACCCTTTGAGTTTTGGCTAGTGAGTCTCTCTGCTTTAGTCCAGACTCCTTCCCAGAGTGAGTCTCACCCCAGAAAGTTCCTCATGCCCCTCCCCGGCAAAGCCCCGCTCACCTCCACAGGCTTCCTGGTTTTGTTTCCACCGTGGGTTAGTTCTGCCCTAGAACTGGACATAAATGTGTAATTCCACCCCCAGGTACAGCCTCCTCCAGCAGGTGGCTGTGTGTGCCCCAGGGTGCTCCTTTCCACTGGATGACGGTGCCTGTGGGCCTTGGATATGGTGGTTGGGCAGCAGATGGGGTGTGAGGAGCTCCGCCATCTCCCTCTGGCTCACCTAGAAGGGCCTGGTCTTCCCTCAGGCGTCTGGCGTCTGGGCCCTGTGCCTGCTGTGAGAGTGTGTGTGTGCGTGCTCGTGTGTGTGAGAGAGATGGGGAGGGGGGTGATGGTGATGAGGGGGCAGAAGGCCTCTCTGGCTTTTTTGTGGCATGGGCCTGGGCGGGAGGGAAGGAAGTGAGAATTTGGCAGGGACCTGTGGAGTAGGTGGGTAGTGACCATTCTGGAAACAAGGGCCTGGGAAGAGGATCCAGGTCTTCAGGCAGTCTCTGTGCATTCCCACACCCTGTTTGTTCACAGGGGGCAGAGCTGGCCCCAGGGACTTCCCTGCCAGGGTCAGCCCACCTGCGGACACCTACCCACCCACCTGGAATGGTCCAGATGTAGGCCATAGAGGAGGACCTGACTGTCGTCCCCCCCCCCCCCCAGATTTAGTTTCCTGGAGCCAGTGATCTGGTTGGGCAGCTGGCCTGACCTGGGGCAGATAGGCGCTGCTGGAGCCCAGGCGTGTCCTCACCCTATCCTATAGTGGGCTTCTGCCAGGCTGGGCATTAGCCCCTTGATCCAGTGGGCCATTGTGCTGCCCACTTGCTGGTCCAGCCCCCAGTCTTGCTTCTACTAACCTGGCAACCTCCACTCCCCAGGCTGTGGCCTCTCTAGGACGGGTGCTTCCTGTCTGTCCCCACACCCGTAGGCAAGTGGGAGGGCAGAGGTCTCTGGCTGTGGTCATTTTGCTGGGAAGAGAAGAGCGTGGTTCATAGGGGCCTAGCCCTGCAGCGGGAGGCACTGCCTCTTTGGTGCTGTAGACAGTGGTGGCCCACACTGGGCCCCGCCTGGGTGGCAGGACAGCAGCATGCAGCCCACTCTGCTGGGGCTCCACCTAGTGGAGGGTGCAGCGAGTTGGCTCGGCTCTTGTCTGCTGAGCGAGCCTGTGGTGAGGCAGGGCACCGGAGTCTGTGCCAGCCCAGGAGCCCTCCATCAGTCAGTCATCTGTCCCCGGCTAGTGCGGTGCCTGGCGGGGCTGGGCAGCGGGACCCACGGAGAGTCCAAGTCCTGTTCTGCCACCCACTCCCTGGCTGCCCAGGAGTTTGGCCTGGTCTCTGACAAGGACAAGTGGCCCCTAGTTGCAGGGTCGGGCGCATGCTGAGGGGGAAGCCACTGTGGCACAGGGCTGTGTGGTGGGCATCTGGTTGGCTGTGGCTTCCTGTTCAGCGCTGCGGTGGTCTCCGCTTCTCCTTCTGGGCTCAGCTCCGTCTATGGCTGTCCCTGGCCTCGCGCTCCGTCCCTCTGATCCAACTCTGGCCTCATGGGGGTTGGGGAGCCTGGACTCCACACAGGCAGCTGTACCTACAGAGCTGTTTCTGCTGCTCTCTGGTCATCAGATCCCAGACCAACCACCCTGACCAGCGGAGTCCCCCTCCCCCTGGGCCACCCCTGTGAGAGGGCGTTGTGCTGGGGCCGGAGAGACAGCTGGCAGGTTGGAGTTGAGGCCTCCCAGCCACCCGCACCCCCGGGTCTGGTCACATTCCTGAGGGACCTGCTGAGCCTCCCTGCCCTGGGGGCGGGGAAGGGCAGGCAGGGATGGGCTCCAAGCTGCCGCAGGCCTCCTCCCCCACCCTGGCTCCGTGCCAAGGGAGCCTGGTCTGCCCACTGGAGTGGTGTACGAGGAGCCAGAACCTCAGGAACCCCCCCTCTTGTGGGACCTGAAAAGTAGGGGGCAGAAGCAGCCCACCTGTCTCTGGTAGCTGCTGCCAGTGGCTTTGGCAGGGTGGTATCGGAAGGCCAAGCTTTCGAAAACTCCTATCAGGGGAGGGAGGCCATGTGGTCAGGCTGGGCCCTCTGGGCAGGGAGGGGGCAAGAGCAGATTTGGAAGGGAAGGAGGCAGGAGAGCCTGAAGCGGTTGAGACTGGTTCTTATAAATAGCCCATCGCACCAGTGCCTCCAGTTCTGACCCTTTGTCATGTAAATGTGGCCGGCCTGAAGGGCCTTGCCCAGGCCTCCTGTCTTCATGCCAGCCATGAACTCGTGCCTGCTCCCAGCTCCGGGGCTGAGGTGGTCCTTGGAGTGCCCTAAAGCTCCCGGGGGGGGGGGGGGGGGGAAGGCGGGGGCAGTGCCTCTGAGCTCCCTAGAGCTGCCATCTTAACCTGCCACTGGGCCTGCTGGCCGGGCACTATGGCCACTGTCTCCTTCCCAGCTGGCTGCCCCTATCATCCCAGCCAGAGAAACCCCAAGGACTACCAGGCACCTTCTACTTCATTGCCCCCCCCCGCCCCCATGATGGCTGTCCGGGTGACCGTGTCCGTCTTCTCTCCAGGTGACCGGGCATTGATGCACCCCCAAGGGAGGCCACGCGCTCAAGGAGGCTGCCCCTGCTCGCTGCTGCTCACATGGTTTCTGGGCCCCTGGCACTCCGGTAGGCTGGGGACAGGGACTGGCAGGGTGGGGGAGTGGGAGGGGGCTGTGGGGAGGGAGGGCATCGTCCACCAGCTCTGCTGGGGGTTCTGGGAGGCCACACAGCCTGTGTCCTGGCCTGCAGGCTTTGTGTGTGGCAGCAGGGCCGCTCAGAGGGGAGGCTGGCCCACTGTCCTCGGTTGGGGAGGAGGAGCTCCCCGTGGACTCACAGGCTCTGGAGGGTGGGACCCCTGCCCTTACCAGTCCCTTGGACAGGCTCGGAGCACCGGGCGTCTGGGTGCTGGTGGAGCTGATTGTACTTCCTGGGGCCGGGTATTCCAGCCGACGTGGAGGCCATGCCGTGGGCAGTTTGTGCCTGCCTGGCTGGCTGCGGGCAGGGTGTAGAGGGAGGTTGGTTCCCATAGAACCTGGCTCCCACCTCAGTCCCCGCTGAGCAGCCCTGCAGTCCCCGCTGAGCAGCCCTATTATTGTCTAGTGAGCGTTTCTTGCCTCCTGCTGTCAGGCCCTGGTGCAGCCTGGCACCCACGTGTTCACGGAAAGCTTGGATGCCTTTTGGAGGTTTGATTGGTTGCTAGGGTTTTTTTGTGTGTTTTTAAAAAATTAATATTTGTAAACAAGGGCACGTGTGGGGCGAGGTGTTGTGTGTGTGTGTGTGTCACAGGGAGGCAGAGCCTGGGTAGGAGCAGGGTGTCCCCGGTGAGGTGAGGCTCAGAGCACTCAGAGATGGAGGCCTGCGCAGAGGGGGTGAGGGTGCCTGGACAGCTGAGTGGCAGAGTTGCCTGTGGAAGGCTTTATGTTCCCTGAGCGGCTGGAGGGCAGGGAGCCACAACCTTGTGCTGTAGGCCCTGCCACTCTGGGGTGGGCGCATGGTGATCACACTGCCCCCACCCAGCCTGTGGGTTCCTGATGAGGCCAGGGGCTTCTGCCTTTTGGTATTTAATGACAGCAGTTAGTGACTGTGACAGTCTCTCCAGGCCAGCTGGCTGTCTTTCCCGTGCCGGACAGTGCTGCCCTGCCCAGAAGGGATCCGGGTGTGGCCAGGCCACATTTTCTGCTCAGCACTCAAGAGACTAAGACCAGGAAGTGCTCTGTGCCTCCAGGGGCTAAGCGCCTGTGAGTTGAGGGCAGCTGAGGGACTGCCTGTGGTTGCAGGTCTGGGCGGTGGGAACACACATTGGCAAGTCTGGAAGCTTGGGGAGCTTGTAGGGTCTTTAAGGGGCAGCCCGGGTAAAGCAGAAACACAGGCTGGAGGCTGCACATTTGGTTTGGCTCACAGGGCATTGAAGAAAAAGAACTTCGCCCTGGCCAGTTTGGCTCAGTGGATAGAGCATCGGCCTGCCGACTGAAAGGTCTGGGTTTGATTCCGGCCACGGGCACATGCCTGGGTTGCGGGCTCTGTCTCCAGTGGGGGGCGGCAGGAGGCAGCCAGTCAATGGTTCTCTCTCATCATTGATGTTTCTCTCTCGCCCCCATCCCTTCCTCTCTGAAAGCAATAAAAATATATTAAAAAATATTGGGAGATTTCACCTAAAAATTTAGGCTTTTAGCTTGTCCTCAGAGCTGTGTGGCTGCATGTTCACATGGGAAGTTGGCCTTCAGTGTCTGCCACTTCCCCGCTCCTCCGAATCCTCTGCTGTCATTGTTAGGTCCCTGGGGCCTGTGGTACTTCCTTCACTGTGGAGATGTCCATGGGCTGTGAAGTCAAGTTCTTTCATTGTCCTGCTTTCGCTTTCTCATCAGTGCAAGTGGGGCCAGTGCCGCTGCCCCTTTTGGCAGTCTGAGCGCCAGGTGGCCAGTGTGAGTTCCCTCCCTGTGTCCTGGGCCTGAGGAGGTGGCCAGTGGCCAGGCCAGCTCGGGCCTCTCTGAGCGCACTGTGGCCCCCCCGGCCTGGAGCCGGTGCACTAGGTCCTGGTCAGCTAACTCACAAACCTGCTCTTGCTTGCAGGTGGTACGCGTGGGCAGGGCGCGGGGACATGGGGCCTGACATGGAGCTGCCCAGCCATTCGAAGCAGCTCCTGCTGCAGCTGAACCAGCAGAGGACGAAGGGCTTCCTGTGTGACGTCATCATTATGGTGGAGAACTCCATCTTCCGGGCCCACAAGAACGTCCTGGCCGCCAGCAGCATCTACTTCAAGTCCCTGGTCCTGCACGACAACCTCATCAACCTGGACACGGACATGGTCAGCTCCACGGTGTTCCAGCAGATCCTGGACTTTATCTACACGGGCAAGCTGCTGCCCAGCGACCAGCCCGCGGAGCCCAACTTCAGCACTCTCCTCACGGCCGCCAGCTACCTCCAGCTGCCTGAGTTGGCAGCCCTCTGCCGTCGGAAGCTCAAGCGAGCCGGCAAGCCTTTCGGCTCTGGACGGGTGGGGGCTGCTGGCATGGGGCGGCCCCCCCGCAGCCAGCGGCTGTCCACGGCTTCTGTCATCCAGGCTCGGTATCCAGGGCTCATGGATGGGCGCCAGGGGGCCCACACCCCCCAGGAGCTCCCCCAGGCCAAAGGCTCAGATGATGAGCTCTTCCTCGGCAGCTCCAATCCGGAGAGTGCGCACAGCCTGGGCCGGGCCGTCTGTCCGGCCAGCGGGGAGGCCGGCCTGGGCAGCTGCAGCACCAATGGGAGCAGTGGGGGCTGCGAGCAGGAGCTGGGCCTGGACCTGTCCAAGAAGAGTCCGCCCTTGCCCCCCGCCACTCCTGTTCCCCCCCTCACCCCGGATGATCCCGCCCAGCTGAGTGACAGTCAGCACGGCTCCCCCCTCTCGGCCTCAGCTCCTCCCGTTGCCAACAGTGCCTCTTACGCCGACCTGGGGGGTACCCCTGGCGAGCCCATGGATTTGGAGGGGCCCGAGGACAACCACCTGAGCCTGCTGGAGGGGCCTGGCGGGCAGCCCCGCAAGAGACTCCGGCACTCGGCCCGCAAGAAGGAGTGGAGCCAGAAGGAGCCCGTGGCGGGGTCCCCCTTTGAGCGGAGGGAAGCGGGGCCCCAGGGCTCCTGCCCAGGGGAGGAGAGTGAAGGCCCCGGGGACAGGGTTCCCAACGGCATCCTGGCCGGCGGCGTGGCCGGGGGCGGCCCCAGCGGGCCCTACAGGGAGCCCCCGTACCCCTGCAAAGAGGAGGAAGAGAACGGCAAGGACGCGAGCGAGGAGAGCGGGCAGAGCGAGAGCGAGGGGGGCGGCGGCCACGCCAGCGCCCACTACATGTACCGGCAGGAAGGCTACGAGACCGTGTCCTACGGGGACAACCTGTACGTGTGCATCCCCTGCGCCAAGGGCTTCCCCAGCTCCGAGCAGCTCAACGCCCACGTGGAGACGCACACGGAGGAGGAGCTGTTCATCAAGGAGGAGGGCGCCTACGAGACGGGCAGCGGGGGAGCCGAGGAGGAGGCGGAGGACCTGTCGGCGCCCAGCGCGGCCTACGCGGCCGAGCCCCGGCCCTTCAAGTGCTCCGTGTGCGAGAAGACCTACAAGGACCCGGCCACGCTGCGGCAGCACGAGAAGACGCACTGGCTGACGCGGCCCTTCCCCTGCAACATCTGCGGCAAGATGTTCACGCAGCGCGGCACCATGACGCGCCACATGCGCAGCCACCTGGGCCTCAAGCCCTTCGCCTGCGACGAGTGCGGCATGCGCTTCACCCGCCAGTACCGCCTCACCGAGCACATGCGCGTGCACTCGGGCGAGAAGCCCTACGAGTGCCAGCTCTGCGGCGGCAAGTTCACGCAGCAGCGCAACCTCATCAGCCACCTGCGCATGCACACCTCCCCCACCTAGAAGCCAAAGACCTTCTCCAGCCCGGGGCGCCCTGCAGACCCGCCTCCTGCAGGCCCGCCCCGGGAACGATGGGAGAAAGAAGTAAGGAGGCCCAGGGGCCAGGCCCGGACCCCAATCCTAAAGGGGGTGGCTCCTGGTGACACCTCTAGCCGGCCCCCCACCCCCCTACCCAGAGCTTTAATCCACAGTCTGTACCAAGGGAAGAGAGCAGAAGGAGGCCGGGTCCCGGGCCCCAAAGGTATTGTGGGTGTGCAGTCTACCTCCAGATCCCGCCCAGGCCCCTGCCCCTCCCCCAGGGCTGCCGCAGGGCCTGTGGGAGTGGGTCACGGGTCGTCCTCGGCCTTTTTGTACAGGTCAGGTCTGAGCAGGGGGAGTGGGGACCTCCCTCTGCTGGAGGGTCAGGGCTGCCTGTGTCCCTGTGCGCAGGAGTGCTAGTCTGTGTGGGCCGCCTTGGCTCTGAGGGGAGCAGTGCTGGATGGGAGGCGATGGAGGCCCCCCCCCTCGAGCCAGGGGGCCCTCACCGCCTACCTCTCCACAACTAAAGAGCCCTCTGGGCCGGGGTTGCTGTTATTCCTACTGATCTGTTCCTTTTTTCTTTGTGAATTTTGTTTTTTAAAACCAAAACCAACAAGAGTTTATTTTCCTCCTGGCCCCTCGGGGCTGAGCCTGGGTCTGCAGACTGAATGTATGGGGCGCCGCCCCTCCCGCCTGGCTGCAGGCCTCGGGGCGCCACCCCTCCGGCCCCAGAAGCCCTTCCTGGCCAAAGGCTTCCCTGGGCCCCAGCCGCCTTGGCTGCCTCAGGAGAGAGAGTGCTTTTCCTATAGTTTCCGAGGAATCTTTGTTTAGAGGTACTTGTTTTTTATTAAGAGAAAGACCAGTGTAACGTTTATGTGAATGTTTGAACTGGAAGGTCTGGGGTTCGAGGGGGGAGGGGGGAGGCTGGACCGGGTGCTAGGGCCGCCGGTACTCGTTTTCCTTTGCTTTGTGTGCGTGGTGTGCGCAGTGCGTGTGGACAGACGTCGCGCTTTCCTTCTTCCTTTCCTGTCCTGTCAGGTGGAGAGACTTCTGACCTTTTGCTACCTCTTGAAACACGGAGAGCAGTAAGCTGGTGGCTGGCAGCGGAGACAGGGACACTTGTTTTCCTCTTGTTGTTGCACCACGACCTCCACATGCACAGCCCGGGGCCGCCACGCAGCACCTCCGCGAGGCTCCTGCCGCTCCCCAGGCTGCTGGTGTGGGGTGTCTCCCGGGCACAGGGCTGGCCTGAGTGGCCGCTGAGCCCGGGAGCCACACAGCTCCTCCGGTCTGGGCCCAGGCGAGGGCGCGAGTGCTCCTGCGCCAGGGGAGCCAGGTGTTGGGCATCGGGGCGATGGGCGCCAGCTCTTTCTGCTCCATCCTGTTCCCTGGGCCTGAGAGAGCGTGAGCTGGGGAAGGAGCAGTGTCAGCCAGCGTGGAGGCGTGGGGAGGGCTGACCAAAGCGATGTGTTCCCCCCGGGGGACAGGACGGGAACTGGCCCGCTGCCACTCCATCTCGGGGCTGGCTACCACCCATTGGCCCAGCCCTGTCTGGTGTCACCCCTCGCCCCTCACTGGGCTTTCTCCTCCAGCCTCAGCACCTCCATGGGCCAGGCCAACGTGCCGAAGTTGGCTCCACTGTCCTCTGCCGACCCGAACCACAGGGCTGAGCCGGTGGCTTTGTCTTCTTCATTTTGCTTCATGCTTGTGCTTTTTTTCCTCTTCTTTTTTTCTTTCTATTTTAAGTTCAGACCAAAAAATTCCGGAGTCATCCTTACCCCTAACCCTTCCAGAGGCCCTCCAGTGAAAACAGAGCCTGAGTTCAGGGACCCCAGTGGTGAGTGGTGTGTTTGGGATGGAGGGCTCCTGGGTGCGCCCTCGGGCAGTGCCCGCAGCCCTGAGCCAGGGAAACAGGCTGTGCCCAGGGTTTGGCTCCAGCCGGTCAGTGAGGGGCAGGACCTGCCTCAGGCCCCTTTGCTCTCTGACCCCACCCCACCCGTCAGCACTTAAGCCACACGACACAAAGTCTGTACTGCTGGGGAGTGGCGCACGCCGGCCTGTGGGTGGCCTCCCTGCCGCGGAGCCACAGACGTGAGGTGCCTCGGGAAAGTAGGCCATTCGTTTGCAGAGCTTCAGGGACTGGGCGCCGAGGCCCCTCACTCGGCAACGTCTGTGCGACATAGTATTGTACCCACCTGAGTATTGTTCCGAGCCTTCTCTGTATTTTAGCAAGAAAGCAAAACACTAGTTTCCTGATTAAGGTTTTAAGGGTTTGTGGGGCAGGGTGGACTGACACACACTTGGTTTTGTTTTCTTTTTCCTTCGAGTTCACGTGGCGTGTGCCTGTGAGTGTGCGTGGAAATGTGTTAGGAGCCTCACAAGGAAATCAGGCCATGGAGGCCCCGGGCGGCTTACAGTTCTCTGCTTTAGTCACTTAATTCTTGAATGTTTTGGAGAAACAGGAAACAGAAAATAGCAGTTGTCATGTAGGAAAGAGGAAAAACAACAACAAAAAGAAAAAAGAAAAAAGAAAAAAAAAAAAAGCTCATACCCAAATTCACAAAACCTATTTTTTAAACCAAAGCACATTTTGAATGAGTATGGAACCTCAGCAGGCTCAGAAAAAAGATGCTAATATATTTATCTCATTGTTTACATAAACTTTTACAGTTTCAGACCTCAGCAGCTGGAAGGCCAGTCCCAGTGAGTCCTCACCTCTGGAGGCCCCTCCAGGTCGCCCAGGTAGAGCCCCCTGCAGAGGGCACCTCGGGGGCGGGCAGTTCACCTGAGCCTTCTTTCCCAGCCCCGCCTCCAAGCCCAGCTGGCACCAAAGAGCTTGGGCCAGTGCTGACTGGACCCCGGCCTTCTGGCCACGCCGGCCAGCTGGCACCGCGGGGTGCTGTTGGCTCTGACCACAAGACCGAGGCTGGGCTTGGGCCTGGGATGGCGGTGAGCCCACCTCTGCTCTGCCTGAGATCCTGGGGTGGGTTGATGTGAGGGTCCCTTTCAAGCCAAAAAGCCAGGACCTTTGCACATCCATTGATTCTGGCTGGTCCCGGTCCCTGGGGACCCACCCCACCACCGCCACCACCACCAGTGGCAGGAGGGGCTTACTGGGCTGGTCCTTACCAACACAGACGGTGCAGACACTCTGAACAGTGTTGTTTTTGTATCAATATGTTTGTGCAGTAATGAATGTATTTATTTCTCAGACTTGGGGCGAGCGAGAGGCAGCCCGGGCTCTGCCGCCGCACGCCCCTGCCAGACCGAGCCACTGCAGGGGCTCGTCCAGGGTTGCAAAACAAAGACGAACCTTTAAGCAAATAAAAATCTCAGAGACTCGCAGCATAGCCATACACCTCAGCCTGTGAACGAGCAATCCGGACCCAGACGGCTTTCAGAACCGCTCGCAGCCATGCGCGTGCTTCCTGTTAGTCACCACTCGGGGCCGGGCTGCCCCCGCCCCCACCCCATCAGTATTCACTGGACTTGACCGAGTGCAGGAGTGCGATCTGGGCTGGCTGGCTGGCTGGGCAGGCAGACCCCAGCCGCCATCCCTGCAACCGTCCTGAGCTGGGGTGAGGCCTGGGCAGCCGGAAGGGCAGGGCTCAGGGAAGAGGTCACTGTATCCGTCCTGTCCCCCGACTTGGAGGACAAAAGCAGAGGCGCCAGGTCTCCGGCGAACAAACAAGGGATCTCCGCTCTGCCCCTGAGGGACCAAGGCCTTGCTCTTCCCCAGAGCCATGTTGGGGCAGGTGCTATTGAACCTGTGAATCCGATGCCAGGAGAGGGGATGGAGAGGGAACTAACCAGAGCCTCAGTCTGACATTCCAAACGAGGGGGTGGGTGTGCACTGTGGGAATTGAGGCTGCCCAGTACCCCCCAGCTTCAGTCACCCCACTTTTTCTACCAGGATCTCCTCCCCCTACCTCACCTTGCTATTTATTGCTGTAATTTATTGACCTCAGAAATGCTGCATAACAGACCTCACTTGGGACAGGGAGGCTCTCCAGGCCTCCCCCTCCACTTGGCGGGGCCCTGTGGGGCCAGGTGCTGAGGGGAGCCTCTCTGTACCCACCCATCACTTGCTTTCCCCTTCCCCCCTTGGGGGACCCCAGGTTGGGCACTGGCCCATTCATAAATACCTCGAGGGGGAGGGAGAGGGATGGGGTTATAGCTGTTTTGTTTAATTGGAACTGGAAGAGGGATCATGTCCTTACGTTATGTCCTTCCCAGAAAGGGGGAGGGACACCGTGATCGCACTCCTGTACTGGCCACCGCCGCTGTCAGTCATCATGTTCACTTCCCTCGAGAGTTTGGATAAATTCAGGTCAGAGCTGCAAGTTCGCAGCCCTCACATGTCATAGAAAAGCAATTCACCTACGACTGATCTCTCCATTCAGAAGTGTGCAGTCTTAATGTACAGTGATGAGAAACTGTTATTTTATGATCTTTTGATTAAAAGCTTGATTGAAAACTACCTTTTGGGCTTTCGGGGCCTGTGTGTTCCATGGCTGTTCTTTCTCTCTAAGTGACAGACTGCTTTCCTTGCTGACCAGCTCTCCGGGGCTGGCATCCTCTTGGGCAGTGTGGGCCTCAGTTGGCGGAGGCAGTGGGTGTGTAAGGAGGGTGTGGACCTGGTGGCCTGGGTGGGGGGAATGTCTCTCCCCGGGGCCACCTGTTGGGGCAGCCATGTCGGCTGGGGCAGGGCAGCGGCTCTCATTTCTCACTCCTTCTTTTGCTTCCTGCTTGGCCTTGGAAGGACTGCCCAGGGTCTCCAGCCCCCTTTGCTCTCCGGTCCCCACTCCAGGGAGGCTGTTGAAGGGCGAGGCCACTGACTGGGGTAGGGAGGGGGTACGAGGGAGGAAGAGAGAATGAAGAGAATCACCAGTCTCTGGGGGCAGGGCAGGTGAGATTCCCTGGGGGACTTCTCCCAGCCAGCAGAGCCGCGAGCCCAGGGTGAGTGAGAAGGAGAGGAGTAGGGGTGGGGCTAGGAGGTCAGTCAGCGAGCTTAGACTCGGGCACCATGAACTGGCATCCCAGGGGCCCCAGGGCCGCAGTAGATAAGCCCTGGGTTCCAGGCCTCCAGCAGAGCATGGGGCTTGCTGCTCTACATCACGGTAAGTGCCATTCAGCTGTTTTACAATTTGTGTTTTATCAAAGCAACACCTGAGCTTAGTTTAAATCACCATATGGTTCTTTTTTTTATTTTAGGTTTTTATTAAGGAGAGAGGAAGGGAGAAGGGGAGGGAGAAGCATCAATGACGAAGTCAATGTTTGCCTCAGCCCTTCTATGGGGACATTTTCTAAACGTGCAGCAGAAGTAAAGGAAGCCTTCGAATGGCTCCCCGAACCTGGTAAAGCCAGGCACGTTATTTAAAGGTTTCAGTGCTGCCAGAGGTCCCTGTGGATGGTCCCTGCCTCTGGGTCTGTTAGGTAACATGGACACCGTCACCGACTCTCTTTCCAGAATCTGAATGAGTGTGTGGACACGTGAGACCTGTGCTCGAGTGGCTGGGCACCGGATCCATGCTCTCCAGCCAGCTGGCATAGCCCAATCTCAGGCGGTAGCCTTGGGCTGGAGGAGGGAGGAGCCAGCTGGCATAGCCCAATCTCGGGCGGTAGCCTTGGGCTGAAGGAGGGAGGAGCCAGCTGGGAGGAGCTGGCTTCACCCCAGCCCAGGGACCTGCAGGTACTGTGCACCTAAGGGGAGGCTGTTGAAGGGCCAGGCCCTGACTGGCTTACCGGGGGAAGACAGTCACTCCGTGGGGACGTGGTGCCTTAGATGGGTAAGTAGGAGGGAGAGGGAGGGTTACCTGGCTGAGTGGCGCCAGCAGGTGGCGCCGAGAGAACAAGAATTAACCTTTGCCTAAGGGGCTGAGAGAAAGGAAGCAATGCTGTGATGGAGGTTTCTGCCCTCCTCCCCCAGGAGCAGAGGAGAGAGCCCAGTGCAGGGAAGGGATGAGTCCTTGGTGTCAGGGGCCACCTCCACTTCTCCCCCAGTGAACCTGGCTTCCGGGGAGTCCTCGTGGCATGTCCCGGCCGGGTGAGCTGGGAGCGTGATGGGCAGCCCAGTCTGCTGGGCACTGGCGCTGACTAGGACCGTGTCAGAAAGCTTTCACCTTTCTCAATATATTGCAGTGCTTTTCCCAACTACAAATGTCTACTTTCCTTATTATAAAGATAACAAATGTTGACCCTAACAAACAACACAGGTACGCGAAAAAGAGAAAATAAGAAAACTCATCATTGGATCTTTAGGAGTGACCTAGATTTTAATAGTAAAAACAGGGCTTCCCACCCTAGCCGGTTTTGTTCAATGGATAAGGGTCCAGGGTTTGATTCTGGTCAAGGGCATGTACCTTGCTTGCAGGCTCCTCCCTGGCCTGCAGTGTGTGTGTGGAGGCAACCGATTAATGTGTTTCTCTCACATAAATGTTTCTGTCCCTCCAACACTCTCCCTAAAAATCAATGGAAAAATACCCTTGGGTGAGGATTAACAACAACAAGCAGGGACTCTAACTGAACAGAGGACGACAGAAATGGGTCAAGTAGGACCACAGGATCAAGGTCAGGGAAGGTGATGCCCGAGCAATGTTTCCAGGGAAGGCTGTTCCATGTGTACAGGTCAGTGTATGAAAAGTACCGAGACATACCATGAGCTGGATTGCTTAGGGCCATGGTCGGCAAACTCATTAACCAACAGAGCCAACTATCAACTGCACAACGATTGAAATTTCTTTTCAGAGCCAAATTTTTAAAACTTCTAGCGCCACTTCTTCAAAATAGACTCTCCCAGGCTGTGTGTGGTATTTTGTGGAAGAGCCACACTTAAAGGGGCCAAAGAGCTGCACGTGGCTTGTGAGCCACGGTTTGCCTACCACTGGCCTAGTGGATGTCTGGGAGGCTAACATGGCCACCCAGGGAGAAGACAGTGCCTAACCCAGACTGGGGGAGGAGGCTGGCTCTCCGAGGGACTTTGAACCTGAGTCCTGAAGAAGGGGCAGACCTGGGCCACACAGGCTGACTGGGGAGGCAGGCAGGTGCTTCCGGTGGGAATTGGGAATGCAAAGGCGGGGCTGCTGCTGGAATCAGACCCGTCAGCTGCTCCCTGGCAGGGCTTCGAGGCACCAAGGTCAGGGTGGTTTGTTTCCATGACTACTGCAGCCCACGCTCCCTCCCCCGCTACCTCCAGGCCACTGAGGGGAAGCAGCTTGGGTTTCCTGAACAACTTAATTAGCTCCTGGCCTCACCCTGAAGAGGCTTTCCTTATCCAGATAGGAGTGTGGGGGTGGGTGGGAGAGGTTGGACTGCCCAGAGGGACACCCCTGCCCTGTGGGCATGCCCAGAGCACCCATCAGCTCACCCTCAGTTACAGGAAAGCCAGTGTCATGGCTCATTATGGCTAGACACTATTTCCAGCTTCTCCCTTGAACTGAGCGGGGACAGGGCACCCGGCCTGCCACTGTTCTCACTGGACCCCGGTTTTCCCATGATGCTCGCCCAGTGTGGGTGGTGGGGGTCTTGGGGACACTACATGGTTAGGGGAACCATTCAGGCTGGGCCTGGAGAGAGAAGTGACCACAGGGCATGGGGGCACCGTGCCCTCCAACAGGACTGACAGACCCAACCGCGTCAGCTTATATTCTCCAACAGCCACAGGAAAACGGAAAGGAAAACGTGAATTTTAAGTGGATCAAATATATTAAAAATATTTCAATCTATAGTCAGTGTAACATTACTAATGGGTGTTTACAGAGTGCACCAGCCACTTTGCAGAGCTCAGCAGCCACCATCGGGAGTCTTAGTGCCGGGGCTAGCTCAGGCCTCGGTGGTGCTGGGCTTAGTGCTCAGAGCCTTACCCATGTGAACTCATTGATTCCCTCAACCTCATGAGGGAGAACCTAGTCATAGCCCCCACGTTACAGATAGAGAAACTGAGGCACGGGGTCTAAGGCTGTACCACATTTACTGATGGCTGCCTTAGGAATGAGTGTATGCCCTAGTTGGCCCCGAGAGAGGAGGGAAAGACTACGGGAATCTTCCTCCCCAAAGGGACCTGCGTCTGGGCACCTCCTGCCGCCCATTGTGACGCGCGCGGGCTCCTGGTCCCCGAGAGACAGGCGGCAGCGGCGGCGGCGGGCGGAGCTCGGGGAGCCATGGCCGAGACGCAGGAGCTGCTGCTGCAGCTGCAGAAGGACAACCGCGACGGGCGCCTGAGGAAGCAGGAGCTGGAGGAGCTGGTGCGCGGGCTCGAGGCGGAGAGCGAGAGCCTCACCGGCCGCCTGCAGGACCTGCGCGAGCGCGAGCGCGGGTGCGGCCCCGGTCCCCGCGGCGGGTGTGCGACCGTCGGTCCGGCCGACCCATCCGTTATCCTGCCCTGTCCGGCCCTAACCTCTGCGCTAGGCCGTCGGGACCGGGGAGCTCCACTCAGGGGACCCACGAAGGGGAGGATGGAGTCGGGCGCGCGGCGCATGGCGATCGGGACGTAGGCTTCGTCGGCCCCACCAACGGCCGGGCCCCCGGTGCCGCGGTGCCTGAGCGCCAGCACCGTCTGTCTCCCCCGCAGCCTGCAGCGGAGGCAGAGCCAGGCGGCGGGCACCCTGGGCGGGGAGGCGCGCGAGGCGGCGCGGGAGCGTGCGGAGCGGGCGCGCGGCCTGCTGGAGGCCGCGGAGCAGCGCAAGCGGGACCTGGTGCGGCCCGGGGCCCGGAGGGGCAGCGCCTGCGGGGGGCGGAGCCCTGGTGGGCGGTGCCCGTGGAGGGGCCGGGCCCGGTGTGGGGCGGGGCCGCGGGGAGGGCAGGACTTCAGAGAGGCTGCCATCTCCATCTCCGCAGGAGCAGCACAACCGGCAGCTGCAGGAGCAGTGGGAAGAGCTGTCAAGTCAGGTACCTGCAGGAGATGCCGTTTCTGGCTTCCCCTAAAGTCCCGCTCTAGTTCCTGCTCCCTTTCAGCCCCATCCCCGCCGCCCGGGGTGTTCCTTCCCCCACCCGCCCCCAGCCGGCGAGCCCCCCTCACAGAGCCCCCCCGCAGCTGTTTTACTACGGAGGCGAGCAGCAGAGCCTGCAGCACCAGGAGCAGCAGCTCGAGACCCAGCTGTTAGCGCTGCAGGTGCGGGGCGGCCCTGCGGGCTGGAGGGCGGCGTGGCGGGGCCATGGCCACGAGGGAGCGGGCGTGGGGGAGGGGAGGTCCTGGGGACCCGGGACGCGGCCCTGAGGCGCGGCCCGATGACGGGCGGCGGCTCCTGACTGTCTTGTATTCAATGGAAGAAACAACTGGAGTTGCTGGAGGCCAAGCAGGCCGTGCAGGCGGAGGGCCTGCGGCAGGTGGGCGCGGAGTCGGGGTCTGAAGGGGAGGGCGGCCGGGTGTGCAGGCGGAGGCTAGGCTGGTGCCAGAAAGTGTAAAGGGGTGTGTGATCCCGACTCCGCCCCCACACCCCCCATCTAATCGAGGCTCCTCGGATCCCAGGGCGCACAGCGGACCGAGGAGGCGTGGGCCAGCTTCCAGGAGCAGAGCGGAGTCCTGCAGGTGCCCCCTTCCCTCGCCCTAGGTCCTAAGAGCCGCCAGCCTCCGCCTCCACCGCAGCCTTCTCTCCGCCTCCCCCAGAGCCGCGGCCCGCCTCAGGCCCCGCCTCAGGCCGGGTCCCCGCCTCAGGCCCAATCCCCTCCTCAGGCCCCGCCCCGCCTCAGGCCCCGCCTCAGGCCCGATCCCCTCCTCAGGCCCCGCCTCAGGCCCGATCCCCGCCTCAGGCCCCGCCTCAGGCCGGGTCCCCGCCTCAGGCCAGATCCCCGCCTCAGGCCCCGCCCCGCCTCAGACCCAGGCCCAGCCTCAGGCCGGGTCCCCGCCTCCGGCCCGATGCCCTCCTCAGGCCCCGCCCCGCCTCGGGCCCCGCCTCAGGCCCGATCCCCTCCTCAGGCCCCGCCCCGCCTCAGGCCCCACCTCAGACCCGATCTCTGCCTCAGGCCCCGCCTCAGGCCCCGCCCCGCCTCAGGCCCTGCCTCAGGCCCGGTCCCCGCCTCTGTCCCCCTCCCCGGCCCCGGCCCGGTCCCCGCCTCCCGCCCGATCCCCGCCTCAGGCCCCGCCTCAGGCCCGGTCCTGGCCTCGGTCCCCCTCACCGCCCCCGGCCCGACCCGGCCTCGCCCCGATCCCCGCCTCCGGCCCCGCTCCCTCCCGCCCCTGGCCCGGCTCCGGCCCCGCCCCCGGTCCGATCCCCGCCTCCACCGACACCGCCCTCCGTCCTGAGACCTCCCTCCCGTCTCCCCCAGGAGCTGCAGGGGAAGGTAATGGAGGCGGCGGCTGCGCTGGATGCCTCGCGAGCCAGCAAGGAGCTGTAAGGGGTCACCTGTGGGTGTGGGGGGCCTGAGGCCGGCACATCGCCCACCTCCCGCCTGTCCCGCAGCTTCAACGCCCAGCCGCGCCGCGGGCCGGACTGCGCGGGCTCCCTCATGGAGGAGGTGGCCAAGGCCGAGTGTGTGAGCCTGCGTCCGGGCGGGAGGGCTGGAACCGACCGCCCCCTCCGGGATACCCGCACCCACCGGGATACCCACACCTACCGGGATACCCACACCCACCGGGATACCCACACCCTCCGGGATACCCGCCCCCTCCAGGATACCCGCACCCACCGGGATACCCGCACCCACCCACCCACCGGGATAGCCACACCCTCTGGGATACTCACACCCTCCGGGATACCCGCCCCCACCGGGATACCCACACCCTCGGGGCCGCCTCCCCACGGGCCCGCCTCCCCACGGGGCCCGCCTCCCCACGAGGCCCGCCCTTGACAGATCCCCTCCAATGGGGCTCCCCCTCACACCCGCTTGGCCCGCCTCCCCACGAGGCCCGCTTATTGACAAATCCGCCCCCACGGGGACCCCCACTCCTGTGAGCCCGCGATTCTCGTCCCCCCACCTCCTGTGAGGTACCTTCCGCTCCCCCGCGGTGCGCGTAGAGCTGGACGCCGCTCCTGTTTCCGCAGAAGAAGCGCCTGTTCGGCGGTGCGGGCGCCGTGGGCGCCAGGTGAGGCGCGGGGCGGGCGGCGGGGTGGGCCGGGCGCAGGGACCCGGAGGCCGCGGCGGCTGGTCCCTCACGCGGCCGCCGGTCCGCAGGCTGTGGGCGCTGAGCGCGCTGCAGGTGCTGCTGCTGGTCCCGCTCGGCGTCCTGGCGCTGCCGCTGCTCTACCTGGTGCTGGTCAACCCCGCGGCCCTGCGCCGCCTGCTGCCGCGCGTGGGCTCCGCCGCCGCCTTCCGCCGCCTGCGCTACACGCTGTCGCCGCTGCTCGAGCTGCGCGCGCGCGGGCTGCTGCCCGCCTAGGACCCAACACGTCGGCCTTGGTCACCTCACCCGTCTCCGCGTGGTTTTTGGGCGTCTGGGGGGCCCTGGGGAGGCTCCTGGGGGGGCCCTGGGGAGGCTCCTGGGGGCGGGCCGTGCGCTCCTCGGCCCGGCGCCGGCTCTGGCACCTCGTCCTCTGGGCACGGGCCTTCCAGGCGGACCTTGCGGCTAGAGAGGCCGTTGGGCGCCCCGCGGCACCGGGGCTCCCCGGGCCGGTCCTCCAGCTTGGGCAGGGCGCCCCCTCTCGGCGCTCGCTCGCTCCCAGGGGCTCCGGGCGGCCCCGCGGGAAGACGCTTTCCTAATGGCGTCGGCTGCTGCCTGCAGGACGTTGGTCTGTATCTCCTTACCTCCTGCAGCGGAGGGTTGGTGTCTGTGGCGGTCTGTTTCCTCCACCCGCCGCGGGTGGGGGTTAGAACCCCCTACGGCGCCCCTTTGCTGGTTCTCTCTCCACGTGGGCTCTCCAAGAGGCAGGACACTTGGGCAGCTTCCCAGGGGTCCGCTTCTGTGTCCCTGTTCGCCACTTGGGTTTTTTCGTTCAGGGAATGATGGCCCTTCCTTTGTATCATCTTGTCTGATACAAACACTGCTCGATTTTATTTACGGTTTTCCTTCGGTGGTGAAATGGTTCAATGGAGCTCCTTGTGTGGACACACGAGTTCGTGTTGTGGCCTTGAAACCAGTGCTTTCTTGTTGATTTGTACTCCCTAGGTTTTGTTTTGTTTTGTTTTTGGCTTAAATTTGTTTATGGAATTCTTATCAAATTTTCAAATTTTATCAAATTTAAGAATTTTGTGCAGGGTGTCCTAAAAAAATCCATTCTTGCCTGTAAGTCACAAAGACATCCTTACACTTGAAGTATTCTAGTTGATGTAAATACTTTGTTTTCCCATTCATACATTGGGACTCATGGGTTTATGTTGTGAGGATCTTGCATTTTAATACACACTTGGCTTGTCAGCCTGGGATTTTGATTATACTGGATTTAGAGGTCAATTTGCAGAAAGTGTGTCTTGCAATCCTCTGTTGCTCCTTTTTTTAAAAAAAATTTCCCCTAAGCATAGTTTGTATTTTTTTAGTGTAGAGATCTTGTACGTTTTTAACTTTACCCCCAGGTATTTGATGTTTTTTGGATGCTATTAAAAAATGGTATTGATTTTCAAAAGTTTATCTTCCAACTGTTCATTGCTAGCAATACAACTGACTTTAAAAATATATATTTTTATTGATTTCCGAGAGGAAGGGAGAGGAATAGAGAAATAGAAACATCAGTGATGACAATCATTGATCCGCTGCCTCCTGCACGCCCCCTACTGAGGATGGAGCCTGCAACCCCGGGCATGTGCCCTTGACTGGGAATCGAACCCAGGATCCTCAGTCTGCAGGCCAGCACTCTATCCACTGAGCCAAACGAGCTGGGGCACAACTGACTTTTTTTTTTTTTTTTTTTTTTTTTTTTTTTTTTTAATTTGCTTGGCCTTTATATTAGTAGAAAGTAAAAAAACAACCACCACCAATGACTATCCTAGATTATGCCGAAGCAGGAAGGAGTGAAGATGGAGACTGGAGGCCGGAAGGGAGCAGCGGTGAGGTTATCACATTAGCATGAGTGCTTGGATGTGAGCAGGCGGGTGGATGGACATGTACATGGAAGTCCTGTCCAGAGCGTCGCCCAGCTCCTCGCTGATGGCTTTGTACTTCAGTTTCTAAGTCATCAATGCTTTTCTCCTACGTAGTGACTGACCTCTCCGCAAGCTCAGCCCGCGTCTCAGCCTCCTTCAGCTTGTCAGAAAGGATCTTGATGCCGAAACCAGTTTGGCTCAGTGGATAGAGCGTCAGCCTGCAGACTGAAAGGTCCCGGGTTCGATTCCAGTCAAGGGCATGTATCTTGGTTGCGGGCACATCCCCCCAGTGGAAGGTATGCAAGAGGCAGCTGATCGATCTCTCTCATCGATGTTTCTAACTCTCCCTCTCCCTTCCTCTCTGTGAAAAATCAATAAAATATCAATATATATTTAAAAAAAGAAAGGACCTTGACCTCGTATTTGTCTTCCTTCTGAGAGGACTTATTGTTCTTCCAGCTGTTGAACGTGGCCTTCTGAGAGCTCCGCCCGCTCCTCTGCACGTCCCGGGCGCTCTCTGTGATGACCAGCTAACGGGCCACCTCTTCCTGCTGGTGGTCGGCATCTCAGCCATGCGCTCAGCCTCTTTCAGTTGGATCTCCTGAATTTCCATTTTCTCCTCTTCCTCCTTTTTGGGCTCGACTTAACATGACTTTCATTCCTCTCTCGCTCTCATCGGCTGCCTTCTCAGCAGCTTCCTCCTGTTGCCAGACGCTCTCAGGCTCCATCCAACTCTTCTACCAGCTGGATGCGTCTGTGCAGAGAAGCGACCTCGGCTCCGGGGGGCTCCCTCCGCTTCCTCTCGCGGTCCAGCTGGCACTGCAAGCTGCCCTCTCACTCCCCCGCTGCATCCGCCTGCTCCTGCTCCGGGCTGCGTATCTGCCTGCAGCGAGCTGCTCCCCGCCCCCAGCGAGCGGGCCCTGGCGAGCAGGCTGCGATGGGAGAGGCTGGCTGCTGCGCTCCCCAACGCCCGGCCACCCCGCCCAGCCTCACCGCACTACGCTGGCGCCCCCTGCGGCCCTGGACCAGCCCAGCGAACCGCAGGGGGGCGGGTGTGCGAGCACCGAAGGCAGAGGCGAGCACCACAGCTGACGTTTGTCTATTCCCTGTGATATTGCTGGACTTCCGTTCTTGGGTCTTTTCTGTACACTCCTTGGGGATCTATAGGCAATTTTACTAGTGTCTGTGAAGCCAATAAAATTCTCTTTTCCAACCTTAATTACTGCTGGCATTTTAAAAATATATATTTATTGATTTTTTTTATTTTTTATTTTTTTACAGAGAGGATGGTAGTTAGAAATATCGATGAGAGAGAAACATCGATCAGCTGCCTCCTGCATACCCCCTACTGGGGATCTGCCCGTAACCGTGATACATGCCCTTGAGACTGGAATCAAACCTGGGACCCTTCAGGCTCACGCTCTATCCACTGAGCCAAACTGGTTTCGGCTACTGCTGATATTAATGCCTAGCATACCGAACAATGCACGTGGGAAGTGGTGACAAGTACCGTCGTCTTGCTCCTGAAGGGGGGAATGCCTTTGGTTTTTCATCATTTTATAAGTATTTCATCAAGATGTTAGCTGTTTTTCTTAGGGGACCATTGTCAGATTGAGGAAGGGTCCTCCTGTTTTTAGTCGGCAGAGTTTTTATTATGAATGGGTATTGAGTTTTGTCCAGTGTTTTTTGGAACATACTGAAGTAATCATAGGGTGTGTGCCTGCTTCAGTTCGTGAATGTGAACTAAACTGACTACTTCTTGAATGTGAAGCTAGCCTGGCGTTACTGGGATAAGACCCACTTGTGATGGTTGTGCTTCTTATACATTGTGTTCAATTTGGTTAAAGATTACTGCATTGTCTCTGTCCAAGAAAGGGATACCACTCTGTAATTTTATTTTCTTGGTATGGCCTTGTTTTGTTTTCTTATCAGGGCTATGCTACCTTCATAAAAAAAGAATTGGGAAGTGCTGTTTCCTCAGAGTATGTAACATTGGCATTATTTCTTCCTTAGATGTTTAGATCAGTGATTTCCTTTTTTAAAAAATATATATTTTATTGATTTTTTTTACAGAGAGGAAGAGAGAGGGATAGAGTTAGAAACATCGATGAGAGAGAATCATCAATCAGCTGCCTCCTGCACACCCACTACTGGGGATGTGCCTACCACCAAGGTACATGCCCTTGACCGGAATCAAACCTGGGACCTTTCAGTCCGCAGGCCGACGCTCTATCTACTGAGCCAGACCAGTGAGGGGCTCTCATCTGCTGTTTAACCAATAGGTTGCATTTTTAATTTTAGTGACTTATTTCTAGATGTCCAGTGTCTTGTTTGGTCTCAGGTCTTGACTTCTTACCTGCTTAAACTAATTAGAGGGTCATATAGTGAGGGGGGTAGATGGCTGCTGCCAGGAGCTAGGGCCACAAAGGTTTGGAGTTCCAGAAAGGAGTGCTTGAACATGAACTACAGGAAAGTGGGAAGAGACTAGAGCAAAGCAGGACACTGAGTGATGCCTGTGCCGAGGAGTGACGTGGGCAGGACCGGCCAGGACTGCCAGTGGCGCCCACAGGACCCCAAGGGGAGCGGTTAGGGAGAATGCAGCTCCTTTCGGAACATCTGTATGGGGGAGTCACCTTTGGGTGGCAGCTCTAGCGGGGAGGGGCCCTGGAAGGCCTGTGGGTGCGGGCTGCACAGCTGGCTGGCCCTCCCCTCGTTCCTGAGGAAACCCTGTCCCTCTCTCCCTGCACCTCCAGGAATCCCTTTTCAGCTGAGTGTGCCCCTGGGACCAAACAAGGAACCTGATCCTCGGTTCAAACAGCACGTCTGCTGGTTTTATTTCCTTCACATTGGTTAAATAGGAAGCTGGATATGATTTTCATACACAAGAAAATACTTCATGTACCTATGAAAGACGACAGGTAGGGAATGTGCTCAGTGCAAACAGAGTTCCGCCCGTGCAGAGGCCGTGCCACCGTGATTGTCGTTTTGGTCTCACCACGTGGTCCGCGCCGGGGGAAGGAGTGGTGGCCAGGCTCTGCAGGGTGTGCTTTGTCCTATAAAAATAACTCCACTGGATGAAATGACAGGGCTCCTGGCCGTTCGCCCCTTTGACCTTGTACGCGGTGGGGCAGCGGAGGGCTGGCAGGGCTCCGTGACTGCGAGGGGCTCGGGGGCCGCAGCAGCTGGTGCTCCGTCGGCGCCCTCAGTAGGGGATGTCATTCTGATAGTACTGGATCATGTCGTAGGTCCGGCTCCTGGGGGGCAGGAGGGAGAGGAGGCTGGACGGGGCCCTGAGCCCTCCATGTCCTTCACCCTGACAGCTGCCTTTCAGAGTCCCTCCCCCTCCTCCCTGGACGAACACGTGTAAGGCTGCAGACCCTCTGGCCTCCTGCCAGCCCCTCCCGCGCCCGGGCCCTCCTTCTTCACCAACAGCCATGCTGTGCCCCCAACTCCTGCTCGGCCTCTGAGGCCACCTCTCGCTCAATGGGCCCAAAATGCGGGCTCCAGTGGATGGCCCCTCCTCAGCCAGATGCCTGCCCCTGACCCCAGAGGTCCGTCTACAGGAGCTGCCTCCCGCCTGTGCAGGTGCCACTCTAGACCTTCCCTGGAGTGTGGCACCCAAATGAGTGATACTGGGCTCAGCCACGTGCCTCATTTCACCAGCAAAACCAGCACCGGAAGCATTTCCTGGTATTGCCTTCCAAACCTCTCTTGCTGACTTGGATGTCATTCCCCCCCGCACCTGGAGCTACCTCCCCCGTCAGGACCACATGGCGCTGCTCCTGTGCTGTCAGCCCAGCCAGTGCCCACCTGACCCGTCCTGTTCTTCTTAGGACCCACTGGGCACCAGTTCTCAGGTTCCAGCAGACTCTGCCCAGAGTCCTGACCCACCTCTTCTCACCAGTAGCAGTGCCGTGAGAGCCACGTGGTGAGAGCTCCCGTTTCTCACGGTGATGCCGAGTGGCCATCCCCACCCTCCTCCTGCTGCTGCTGCTTCTCCCCCGGTCCTGCCGGGCCTGCACGCCCCCCACAAGGACCTTTCCTACTGGGGCTCCCTTGGCCTCAGGCTCGGCCTCAGGTGGGCGTGGTTTCTGGCCGTCAGGCCCTACTGGATGTCCCTCAGCATGTCCCAGCCCCTCTGCCAGCACCCTGCAGCCCTGAGCGCTCACTTCAGGGGGTTCGGGGCAGGCTCCCAGAACGAGCTTCCTTGTCCCCTGGCCCAGGCCCAGTCCCAGC